AATTAGTTAATTATATATATATATATAATATATATTATATATATTATATATATATATATATATATTGTTTTTTTTCTTAGTTCCGCACTAACAATTAATTAATTTATACTTTTAAAACCATCTAGGATCCTATTTAATGTTGTTTTTCATTACATGATCACACAATAGTTGTCACACTATTCAATCGCAGATTAGATTATGGTAAATAAAACCCTAGATGATGGCTAATAAAAGATTAGACGAGTCTAATACTAGAGTCTAGAGATTCTATGGAAGCGTTTGCAAAAGCATTTCAGTTAGTAGAAGTTAATAATTATTTATTTTATTTAGAATATTTTAATATGTGTATTTAAAATTTTATATATTCATAAAATACTTGTTTAAATTTACATTAATAATTACAAAATAAGAAATTTATATAATTATAATAATATATGTTCATTTTAATTGTTGTACATAAGATAAAACTTAAAAAAAAAAAAAAATCAAATTTATCAAACCAATTTATAGTAAATGGACTGCAATTTGTACATTTTCAGTTAAGATTGGGCCAAATCTTGTATAGTGTTGGCACAAATTCAAGACTAGTATAGAACTTAGAACAACTTTAATACGTCTCACATGGGAATTTAATTTGACATGATGTTTCTCCTTTAGGAAGACAGAAATTGCAGGAATCCCGGCATCTCCTTCTCTCTGAAAAAGAATAGTTTATTAACGACTCCACTCCATGATTCATGAATCATGAGGTCTTCCTCTTACTCTTCACTTCAGGCCTTTTTTTATTTTATTTTAAATTCATTAATTATTCATTTTCTATAAATTTTCGAATTTATAGTATTAGTGTAACCATAAAGTGATTCTAATTAATGACAATTTAATTATTTTTTTTTTAAAATAAATTCTTGATTTACGCACACATTTGCCATAAATCCTACTCTTATTTTTCTTCACACTTGGTTTGAAGTCAACATCTTCTTTCACTAATGTTCATGAACATCAAACTCCTTGTCAAAATGCATGTTAAGGATATATGATATGCTGCAATCACGCCTTGATCCAGATTGCTGTGATTCTAGAAGTTAACGTTTCACTCAATCACCCTAACGTTACGTGATTGAGTCTTTGTTATAAATTATATTTCCATTTCTTACCCTTACAATCTTGTATAAATAGATCATTGTACAAAGGTTACAAATATACAAATACACAGAAATCTTCTTTCTGCATTTCTTCTCTTCTTCTCAGGCATACTCTGACAGTATACTGTTTATAGATTATCTGGCTCTTGCCTTCTCTTCAAACTCTGACAAAATTTCAAAATCTAATAATGGGACAAATGTTACCAAATGATGATTTCCAACAACTTTGGGATACAAAAGAATTCTTTATCAGACAATAAAAACCAAGGATAAGTGTTAAATTAGTATTATTTCAATTTAAAGATAATTACAATTACAATCACAAGGATTTAACCTTTTTATAAATTATATGCAAGAATTCAACGATGTAAATAATATATGAAATATTTTTTTCTATATTAAAGAACCTAAAAAGCAACAGCTAGATGTTAACATCTAGGTCTAGGTGTAAGATAACTTCGTTTAGTTTTCTTTTCTTTTAATCACTTAATACAATAGATGTTAATTATCATTTGAAACGGTCTGGAATCAAAAGAATGACAATGACACACAAATAACGAAATAGTAAAAGAAAAGAACACGTGCGATTTATTATGTTTTACCTAAAATTGAGTTACATCCAATAGAGTTAATATTATTACAATATTTTCTCACATCTCTCGTTACAATGAATATATTTGATATGAATTGCTATATTACTTATACAAGAGAATAATATGTTTATATATTAGGATTATTAAGAGAAACCCCTATGTCGCCCTTATAGACAAATCCATTATTGTTGAAGTGGTCACCAATTCCAACATTGTTCAACTTTTCTTTGAAAGAGATTGTACGTTAGTGTCCCAATGTTGGCTTGAGGCCTTTCCTCTTGTATATTATTCCTTTCCTCTTGGCCAATTAATGCACCAAATGTTGAATCATCATGCTTTTCTTTAAAAGAGATTTAGGTTAATGGCATAGTACTGTTGGCTTGGGTCTTTGACTCTTGTGTCACTACAAGAAAAATGGTTTTCAACATCTAGCAAAATTAGACACTGATAGTAAAATTTAGACGTTAAATGTCTTGCACGTCTAAATTTTGTAGTCGCCATGCAGTGAGCGAGTCGTCGTCTACTATACGAGAGTGGTAGAAACTAGAATTTTTGTTCCAATGAGGAAAGGAGGTCGACTATGAGGGTTTGCACAAATGAGTGAAATAGCGGGTAAGCAAAAGTTTTAGGGAAAAAATTGTGGGAATAGTTAATGAAAATGGTTGGGAAAAGTTTTAGGCAATTTGTTTTTTGTTTTTTGTCTTTTATATACCTAATCTTTGACAGTTAAAAACTGTTAAGGATTGAGACTACAACAGTCAAGAACAAGATTTGTAAAATTTATTTTTAACCAATTCCTTGGCAAGAATCATCCAAAACGGTCAAGAATTATTTCAAATTCTTGACAGTTCATAAACTGTCAATAATTAAAATTCTTGACATTTTTTTAGAATAGTCAAGAAAATCTGTGAACTCATTCTGTCAAGGAAGTGAGTTTTTCTAGTAGTGAGTTGAATCACACTTAAATCAAAAACCCAAATAAAAAAGAGATCGAAAGAACAAACCCACAAAACAGTTTTAAAAAAAAAAAAAAAACCCAAAAGATACACAAAAATAAATGTATAGAAAATAAAATCGAAGATACCTTAGTTGAAGAAATCGATGAATATGAAATCGTCTCGAACGAGTGTCCATAAATGAAAAAACTTAAATACCCAATTGAGAAAATAAATAGATATTATCAAACACCATTCGTTTATTAGTAACAATAAACGAATTTAAAGCACTTATTACAATTATAATAGCCATTGTAATGTCAGATGAAAGAGAAGATAAAAATAAAATCACCCATTACAAAGTTAAAGCCACCCATTTAGGAACGTTACTAACAACAGATGCTTAAACAAATTAAAGCAAATGTTGTGAAGAAACGGATTGAAAATCAAACAATAAAATCGAAATATATACCATCTGTAAAAGAATGAGATTTGACATAAAAATAAAAAGAAGTTACCTTTAATGGAGTAATGTAGGCGGTAAAAGTAGAATCAAGGAGATGGTAAAGTGAAGAGGGAAATTGGATACAGAGGAGTGCGTGGAGAAGAAGAGGACTCGAGTAAGAATAGGGAAATTGGGGTATTAGGGATTTGGTTTTAAGTTTGGGTTTATATAGGATGGGTCTAGTAATTGTTTCTAAAAACAAAGGCATTTATTCATTTGATTAGTTATTTGTAGCAACCAGATTTAGTCACCATTTGTAACTTTCATGTTTTGTAAACCATCAATAACAACTAATATTTTAGTAGTTGCCACTGTCAAATTTCTGATTTGCAAGCTTTTTGTAGCTAATTGATTTTGGTTACTAGTAGTATATATCATTTTTAATAAACAATATTTAGTGGCTAACATTTTGGTTGCGAAAAAAATCTTATTAACAATTATAACTTTAGTTGCCAAAATAACATACCCAAAATTTCAATTTATTTTAAGCAGGAGCATGGGGCGCCCAAACTGCAAAATTTACCATACATTTGGCAACTAAAATCTTAGTTGCCAAAAGAAGATAATTTACAACTAACTAATTAGTTACGCAAAAATAATTTTAGTCACAAATTAAAATATTATTTTTTCATTTTATCAGGAAAGCTCGGGCCAAAAAAATTCATCAACTTTTAGCGACTAAATACATTTTAGTTCCTATACATGAGTTTTTGCAATTATTTGTAATATGCACAAAATAATTAGTTGCCAAATGTACCCTAGGCCCTTTTAATTATTGTCACAAGCTTGGATATTTCGGTAATTATATTATTTTGTAATTAATAAAAATAGTTACAAATTAATTAATAGGTATTTGCATCTAATTTAGCAACTATTCAATAGTTGCAAATAATTGTTTTCTATAGCCATAATTTTAGTTGCGGAATCTCTTGTTGTAGTCGCCAATTGTGTTTGCGCAAAAATTGGCAATTAAATAAATTAGTCACTAATGTGAATTTTGGGTAACAAATCAAATTAGTCGCAGAATATTAATTTTAGACGCCAAAGGTGAGAATAAATAAGCCCTATAATTTTATTCCCCTTTGGTCGACTGATTAGAATTTAGTTACTAAATATGAGGTATCTAGAACTATTTTAAACTAATTACAAAAAAATTGGTTGCAAAAAACTTTTTCTTGTAGTGTGTATCCCTTTCTTGGGTAAAAAATGTAACAGATATTAAATATCATCCTAACTTTGTTTGAAAGAGATATTACAACTTAGAAGCTTTGTTCAACAGTTGTTGGTGTGTTCTCTTCTCCGCTAACTTTTACTGACATTCAAACTTACATCGTTTTCTAACTTAGTCATGTCAAGTAAGAATTATATACAAATTTTAATATGACCTCTAAATTACAAAATTTCCTTTTTCGTCCATGAATGCACCAGATGATGAGGTATTGTATGCTAAAGATGATCTTGCTTTTTTTGGAAGAGATTGTATGTCGTAAATGCCCTAGTGTTGGCTTGAGGTCATTCCTCTTGATCAATTAATTATGCACCAGATGATCAGGTATTGTATGCTTATGGCCCAGCGTTAGTTTGAAGTATTTCCTCTTAGATATTCCTTTTCCCTTGGTCAATTAATGCATCAATGCTAAATTTCATCATGCTTTTTCTTTTTATAAAAAAAAAAAAAAAAAAAAAAAAAAAAAAAAAAAAAGATTGCTTGAGTTCTCTCCTCTTGTATATTATTTTCCTCTTGGGCAAGCAATGCATAGTGACAGTGGTACAATAGCTTTTAAATATCAACTGATTTCTTCAACATCTTCCCCAGCTTTTAGCACCAGTTGAGCCTTTCATTTCTTTTACAGTTGTTAAACATCATCTGGCATCTTAGGCACCCATTACTCAAAGAGGCAAGTCTGTTAATTTATTATTTTAAAGTTGTTATGATTCTTGTTTCTAAATCGACTGCTAGATTCATTGTAGATCAATTTCGAGCCGAGAAATCACGCACAATATGCCTACATCAGGAAGGAAAGAAAATGTTGAGATTGTGATTTCACCACCTTCTGAAGAAAGGGCTGGTAAGTTTTACGTTGCAATGAATGGTCGATGTGTTATTTTTTGGGTTAATTTCAACAACCACCCATAGCTTTTTGAAAAGTATCATCCAGAATAAGAATTTGAATCTATTATCCAAAACCACCCGTATGGATAATTTTATTATCAAGTACGTTTATACCCATGATAAATTAATAAAATAACATCTATACCCTTAATCAATTTGAAGTGATAGTTGCATGGATTTGACTATTATATGCGTATTTGTTCTGAGATTTTTGGCTTATAAAAAGGCCGAAAATGTTAAATTTCTTTTCCCCCTTAATCTCTTCTGTTGCTACATTATCAAGTTACAAGTGAGAGAGGGTAAAAAATGAATATCAAATTTTGGCTGTTAATTTAACAAATTTCTCTTTATATTCGAAGCTCACTCTCTAGATGAGAAAGATTTTTGTACTTCTTATTGTTTTAATACAATCAGCCAGTAAGGGTATATGCATCACAATTTTGCTTTGTTATTTTCTAATTATATTGCAACATGATTCAAAGAAAACGTTTTCATCATCATGAAATGATTATGTGTGAGACTAATTAGCAAATTTGACTTATTTTTCTTCTTCTCTTGAGATAATAGTTAAAAAAGAATGGTCATTATTGTGCCATTCTTGAATATTATATTGATAGACATCCTTTTCTTTTGTTTTATATATATATATATATATATATATATATGATATCTTTACCTATAAGTGTGGGAATCACTTATTGCATCCCTTTTTTATAAATTCATGTATTGGCCTCTTTTTCTCAAGTAAATAAAGTATTCTATTTCATTAGATTAAACTTAATATAATTTTGTGCAGAAACTTGTTCTCGTTTCAACTTGACAGAAATTAAAACTCGAAATAGGCACTTGGAATTGTACCTAGCTGCACTGAAAGGTGATTGGGACACAGCTAAAATAATTTACAAGGAAGATAGAATTGATTTAACAGTTAAGCTATCAAAGCAAGGGGACACTGCTCTCCATATTGCAGTTGCTGCACAGCGCACTAGTTTTGTGAAAAAGTTGGTTGAACAAATGAAAAAAGAGGATTTAGCCATAAAAAATAATGCTGGCAACTCGGCCTTTTTAATCGCAGCTGCGTCCCATAGTGTTGAAATTGTGAAGGCCATCATGGAGAAGAATGAAGACATTGTAAAGATTAGAGGAGGCAATGATATGTTACCGCTTCACGCGGCAGCTCAAACGGGAGACAAAGAGATCGTAGAACACCTTTATGAAACCATGGATCGAGATGGGTTAGTAAATGATAACGATAGCTTCGAATTGCTTGTGCGTCTGATAAACCATGGTTTGTATGGTAAGTCTTATTATTTATATGCGCTTGAGGTTTCTTCTTCCTTACTGAAAAGCTTTAAAATAAATTTTTTCTCAAATTTATATTTTTTATAATAATTAAATCATCAATTATCTATTAATCCTTAAGTTTTATTTTATGCTTAGTTTTTTTTTAAAGATCAATAATACCAATAATACGTTATTTATGTCTTTTAAGGCAATTAAATAATTAATACTAGGGGTGTTTGGTTCCAGGTACCCTGCACTTTTTGAAGGAACCGGAACGGACGGTTCCTTGAAATTTGGAACCAGAACCAGAACCGACGGTTCCAGTTCCTAGGTACCCAGAACCAGAACCTGTAACAACGGTTCTGGTTCCAGTTCTGGGTACCCTATAAAATTCATGACCCCCCAAAAATTTTTAAAATAACAAAAAAACCCTTAAAACTTACAAATACCCCCCACCTGGCAGTTGTTAACAAAAATAAAATTACAAATTATAAATTCAAAATTACAAACTCCATTACTTTGTAAAGGTAGATTCTCAAAAGGCAAACCAACTTACTTTAAATGTTATGAAATATAAATATAAATGTATTCACATTACTTTTTCTACAAAAGTTTTTATTAAGCCCCCTAATCTTTAATTTTATTTTATATTAGTCTCGGTTCCTGGTTCCTGGTTCCAGTTTCGGTTCCTAACTATAGAAACCGGAACCGGAACCGTACAGTAACGGTTCCAAACATTTGGAACCGGAACCTACCCATTGACGACTGGTTCTGGGTAGGAACCGGAACCAAACCCAGGGTACCTGCCGGTTCCGGTTCCAACCGGTTCTTTTGAACACCCCTAATTAATACTACTATTTTAAATATATGAATTGCATAACTTAGTCAAAAGAAAGGAAAAAAAAAAAACTAATTTGGAGTAAAAAATGTAAGGATTGTTTTGGTTACTACTCACATAAAAGTAAACTAAAGGGGTCTATATTGTTAAAATATATAGTAGAAGGGACCTATATATAGCTTATGATGTTGATGATTGTTTTCAAGATGTTGCGCTTGATTTGGTGGAGAAGCACCCAGATTTAGCTACTAAACGTGGTAAAAATGAGGAGACAGCATTGCACTACTTGGCTCGAATGCCCGTACCGACACCTACTTTCTCCGGTGGCCCAGTTAGACGATGGAAAAGATTAGTGATCTACACTTGTTAGTTCTCTCTCATCATTAATTTACACCTTGGACATTCCTTATATATATATACTACATTAAATTTCCAAATATATACTATTTAACATGTTCAAAATTTTCCCTTTCAAACAATGAAATTTTTTAAAATTTTCTTTTATAGGATTAGAAAACTGTACTCTTTAAATCTTAATGGTGCTTTCATGTTTTAATTAAGTAGTTAAGGAAGCGATAAGGACTATGCAACGGATGAAGGAGACTATGCAACGGATGAAGGAGAGGGAGGAACAGAGGAATATGCTGGGCTTCAGGCATCGAAAGAAGAAGAGGGAGAAACAGTGGAGGGAATCAATGAGCTTGACGGCCCAAATGGATAAGCAGATATCTCGCTCGTCTTGTGGGTATTTGTTTTTCAAATTTGGTTTATCATTAAGAACCTTGAAAAAAAAAAAAAAACCACAATTTTTTAATACATTGATATACTAATTTTTTTTTTTTTTGTCTTCTAATATCCTTAACATGTGTCATAATACGTGTTAAAACAATCCTTCAAAATTTGTACCTAAAATATGGAGATACACTATCTTTTAAGTGAGTCATTAAGAAAATAAAATCAAACTTGTTATTTTATTTTGTATACTAAATAGTGATTAATACTCTTGGATAATCTTCTGTTGGAAGTCGATTTGTTTAATGTAGTTGCTTAATTATGTGATAATTAATTACCAGTTCCTCAATTTTTCTGTGAACTAATGTTGGCTTAAATAAACTTGATGTTTCAGTAGGTGCAGAGACTCCTCAAGCTTCTATTGAACTAATAGACTGTCTTTGGAAACAAGTTATGCTTTTGGATGACTCCCAGATTTTAAATATTATTAGAAAACCCTGGCCGCTAACATTCGAAGCTGCAAAACAAGGAAACCTTGCGTTTCTAAACATAATTTTGGGCGCATATCCTGATCTCGTATTTGAAGTTGACGAAACCATTACAGCATATTTCATTTTGCCGTTATGTATCGTCAGCTTAACATTTTCAATATCATATATGACATAGGTTCATTTAAGGATTTGTTAGTACAGAAGACAGATAAAAAAAGGAACAACATCTTGCATTTGGCCGCAAAGATTCCAGGAAAATATAGGCACCACACGGAATCAGGTAAAGCAGCCGTCCAACTGAAAGAGGAGTTGTTATGGTTCAAGGTGCACACTCCAATCCCTTGTTTAAATATTCTTTTTTTTTTTTTTTTTTTTACTTCTATTAATAGATTTTGTGTAATTAACTGTAGAAAGTGAAGGAAATTTTGCATCCATGGGATGCTGAAGCTAAAAATAAAAAAGGGAAAACTGCCAGAGCTTTATTTATTGAACAGCACCAAGTGCTGAGGGATAAAGCTGAGAAATGGATTAAGGAGATGGTAAGCGCATGCCTTATGGGGGCAAAAATTATTGCCACCGTGGTTTTTGCCGCAGCTTTCACAGTACCAGGTGGCACCAAAGAAGAAACAGGGTCTCCGAATTTAGTTCGAAGAGCTTCCTTCATACTTTTTGGAATATCAGATGCTATAGCATTACTATTATCCTGTTTCTCCGTACTAAAGTTTTTATCCGTTATCTATTCCCGATATGAAGAAGAAGATTTCATTTTACACTTGCTTTATGATTTGAAAGTGGGATTAAGCTTATTTGTATCATCAGTAGGTGCAATGATGGTAGTGTTTTGTGCAACTATGTTCATTGTCTTCCAACATGGGATGCTATGGGTTCCTGTTCTTATAACGACAATGGCTGTTTTCGCATGCTTCGTGTACTGTGAGAGATTACTGAGGGCCATTGTAGATGTACCGCATCCTGCCACAGCATCTGGAAGTCCATTTAAGGAAGAGAAATAACTCACAATATTAGAAAAAGAATTGAACAGTATTATTTAAAAATGAGTGTTTTTGGCTTTGTCTCTCATTATTCACTTATTTACATCAATGGAATATAATAAATGATTAGTTCGTTTTTGTGGTGTTATTTATTTTTTTATCGTTAGTGTTTTGAATGTGCAAGTTATGTGTTTGTTATTTTTCATCGTCTGATTATAAAAGTTGAGTGGTTTATTTTTATAAATTTCAAATATCTTACAACTAGTGTTTGTTATTATATAATTTTATATTTGTATGTTTTAAACAATTTTAAGTATTCAAATAAAGAAAATCATGGTGGCATTAGCGCTTCTTTTTTTATTGTGTCCCTCTTCCTAGTAAAACTAAATAAAGATACTATGTTATTACATTGTTTATATAACATTTAAAATTTTATTATAACAAAAAAAAGTTAAAATAACTAAATTAATTAGATTCTTAAAAAAATTGATTTGCAATTTGATCTTATAATTGTTGCATGAACACTTGATTCGTTAGCCCAAAGAAGTTGCTTGCATTTTGATGTTTGATTTTGATATGCAACCATAATAAATGAAGAAGATTTAGCATATATGTATATAAAGAGTAAACGAAATCTTCCCACTTGAGGTTTAACAAAATGGCAAGTTGATACCCTTGGTTTCATTTATTTCAGATTTCTACCCTTAAAATAACACCGTTAATTTGATAGTGATGGGGTTGGCTTATGAGCAGTAGTTGGGTGAGGACTTTAATCAAGTAGTTTATGGGCACTAATTTGAGCTTTGATTTCCGGGATTGATGTATGGGCCAAAATTGTCTTAGGCCTTATCAGGCCTAAGCATGAAACATCTACAACGTGGCCCAAGGCCTGGCCCAATTCCGGTTAAACCCAAGCCAAAATCCATATTATGGGCCAGCCCATCTCATCAACCAGACAATTAACAAGTGAGATTCTCAAAACATTAAGGCTTTGCCACCAATTAGGCCTCATCACCAATCCACTTGGACCTAGGCCCATCGATCCAGGATCATTCCAAGAACCCAAAGTTCTACTTAAACCCTACTTCATCCACCTCCTATTTTGATCTACATCTTAATTCATCTAAGATCCTGACTCTACGAAGGTAAGTAAATCAAGTCTTTTCTATTTATTGGAAATCAACTATCAGGGACTCATAGTCCTACTAAGATTCGAAGATCTTATATGCACTATATTAGCAGAGGTCTTGCCTCTCATTAAGCATCAAATATCAATACCACCTACTTGCTCCCAAAGTTCTTGCTCCTAAGAACTAAACACCTTTGCAGTAGTTCTAGTTTCTGACTAAGATTTTGGTAACCCTTCTTTCCCTTAACAATTACTAAATAGCTTTTTTTAGACTTGTTGACTTGAGCTCGAAGTACCTATGGCAGACACTACCCTGGTGTTTCCCGTGAGCTTCACACTTGTTTCTTTGTGTGTGCAGGTTCTGTAGATCATTAGTGGCATCAACCTCACAGGATCAATCATTCTTTGTAACTGTAGATTTTTACGTCTATAATTGGAGAGTCGCCAATGGCCAAAAAACACATCACAACAATCATATGATGGTGGATAAGTTGGTGGTGAAGTCTAGAGATGTCGGTTGTACCCAAATCAATCAGAAAAAGCTTGAGAAGTAACCTAATCTCACAAAGTGGCAAGAATGGAGGTGGTTGGAAACTGTGAGTGTGGTCTTGCTATGGGTTTCGTAGAGGCGGTTGTGGGAAGTCCAATGGTGGTCTCAGAAGTGATTTTGGACTTTGGAATCAACTGAAAAAGCCAAAAACAGTCGACTTAGACACTACTAACATGAGCCTGCCTCTTGCCAAAAAAAGCATCGACGTACTTTAACGTGCTAACATGTGCTGTGCTAAAGTGTATATGCATTTTAGCAAACGGTGTTACTTTAAGGGTAAAAATCTAGAATAAATTAAATTAGAGATATTAACTTGCCATTTCGTTAAACCTTAGGTGGTAACATGTCGTTCACTCATATATATATAATAAAACCTCAATATAGTGATACTCTGTAAGGAATAACCTCTATATAGTCATAAAAAATTTCAGTCCCAACTTGGGATAGTTATAAATAAGAATAAACTTTTCCATATTGTAATAAGTTATAATTTTTCTAATTCTCGTCTTAAGAAAGTTACCTTCATATAGTAATAATTATATGTATATTGCAAAAACAGAAAAAAAAAAAAAAATTTGCATTAGAAAAAAGTTGGTGATTTGGAAGCCAATACATTCAGTAAATATACAAAGATGATTACATGAATGAAGAAACCATCGTCATAATTTTCGAGGCTTCTGAATATATCAGTGGTCGTATGATTTTCTCATCCATTTCAGCTTCCCCTTTTAATGAGAAGGAATATAACATCTTTTGTTTTTCCAAATTTGCTCTGCATTCCTTCAGGTTATGTTAATTAAGATGATGAGATTCTTTTTTATTCAACAAATTCAGCAGTTAAAACATCTTAACTCAACTATATGCATTTTGCCTTCACGTGTTATGGTTGATCTAAAGCATTAGACCAATATAATGATGTTAAAGAAATATTTTTTTTCTCTACATGATAAATCCAAACTAATCAATTACAATCTAAAATTGCGGTTCCTTCTTCTAATTCAAGGGAGACTTGTATTTGCTTCCTACGTTTTGTTTCAAAACATGAAGTTTAGATCGCAGGAGCTTTACCATATTATCTAGGAAGGTATACAACCAGTGTCACTGTCCTTTCCAAGTAAGTGTATCCAGGCTTCATTTTACACATCCAAAATTAATAAACCGGTTATAATAAGTTACATATTTTTCAATTCTGGAAAAGATCCATCACGCGTTTAAGTCTTGACTTTTGAGTGCATGCATGCCAAGTTCTCTAAGTTATATCTCTTTCTCGTTACTTTCCTTTTCTGCTTGACTGACTTTCAATATTCTATAAACTCTCATAGCATGTCCATGCTCATTTACTTTATTCAGAAAATCAACTGAGAATAGTTTTGCATACGTTTCATCATGTACTGTTCTCTCCAAGGTAATTCTTTTTCTTTTCTTGCTTCATTTAACCATAGCTCAATGATACAATATTCCATCATCATTAACTTTATGTTACTATAATTTCTTTCACGTTATTATTATTTATTACTAAAATTTTATTATATGTTTGTGCAAAATTTATTTCCAGCTATTAGTTTTAACATGAAATTTTGTTAGTTAAGCTAAATTCATAGTTGGGATTTTAGGCTTTGCTTCTGAGCTGATAACTAACAATTGAAGGTAATTTACATGCCCAGAACCATTCAGTTACATAATCTACTTTGTCTAATGGTTTCTTTTGTGCTGTCTCAAACTACTGAACTTGACCATAAGTAGAAAATGAAAATAGTTTCTTATTAAGTACAAATACATGCATATAGTATACTTCTATTAATCCATTTGCTATAACGTCTTGATGCATTTTTCCATCAAACCCATTTTTGAACCAGATAATTTTCAATTTTGAATCCCGCTAAATAGCACGGCAATAGGGTTTCTATTACCATTTGATCTATTGATAGACTCTAATTTGAATGACTTTTTTCCTAAAATTGACAAGTATGGTTCTTCAAATTACAAATAGTACAAGAAATTATTGTTGAATTTGTCAATAATTTCACAAATCTTACTATATACTATATTCGCACGCTCTTACTTTGGGTTTTGGCACTTTCTCTACTAGTTGAAGGGGATGATGATAAACAACCTTCCATCATCACGTACGATCCCAATTCCCAAAAGGGCCTTTCCATTCAACATGTTTTTCCAGCAATCAAATCTGTTGTGATTTCCACCAAATCTTCTGGGGAGGATGATACAAGCATAGCAATATGCTTTGATGTTGGCATAACTCCAAAAGTCATATATTACTATGTAAGTTTCCCACAATGTCTTAGTCATGGGCAGTTTTTGGTGTGTTAACATTTATTTATATGCCAAAAAGTGAACTTAGGTATTTTCTGTAACTTGGTACTCGTGTTGTTCCTAAAGCTTTTGAAAGGGGAGGTGGAAAGGAATCGCTTTACTGCTTATGTTTCCTTGCATCTTGCAACGCTTAAAGGTGACTGGGAATATACAAAAGCATTTTTTATGTTGAATCCACAAGCAGTGTCTGCTAGAATAACTAGGAATCGGGAAACTGCTCTTCACATTGTTGTTGGAGCTAGACATACTAATATACTATATTTGTTCAGGAGCTTGTGAACATTATGACACCTAATGACCTAGCACTGCAGAATAATGTTGGGAAAAAGATCTGTGTTTTGCTATTGCATCTGGAATAAAAAAGATGTGATGGTTAATAAGAACAAAAAGTTGCCATCAATTCGAGGTAGTGAGGGAGCAACACCATTGTGTATGGTTGCTTTGTAAGGCCAGAGAGAAATAGTCTGGTATCTTTATTCTGTTACTGTTGAGTGAAGCTTTAAACGATGTCGCATTGCACTAGCCTATACGTTGCCGTTTTGGGGTAATTTTAAATGACAAATCTCATCCATTGAATCCAACTTAATCTAATGGTGAAAAGCAATCCAGGGAGTCAACCTGTATAAAGTTGAGTTTCAAGGAAAGTAAACAGTAGATGAATTCACTCTCTCTCGCGTTCTTCAACTTTGCTAGGGTTTTTAGTTTAGCTCTCTTCAAATTGTGTAATCAAGTCACAATTGGTGGTAATTGTGGGTAGAAGAAATAGGTTGTTCTTTTGGTAGAGACACTTTGTATAGGCTGTCTTGTTATTGCGATTATGGGTTGTTTTAAAGGTTTTTATGCGAGTGAGAGATTTGGGTTATGGTGTTCCTTGGTTTGTAATTTGTAAAGAACTTGATCCTTATATTGTAGTGAGCCCCAAATACTTGGAGCTGAACGTGGACGTAGTTTATTCCATTAGGATAAACGAACCACGGTAAAATCTTGTGTGTTCTTGATTTTCTTTCTTAGTTGATTCATGTTGTGTGTGTGTTAGGTGTGTTTGATCATGAAATCGATTAGGTTTGAGTTTGATTAAAACCTAATAGTGGTATCAGAGCTAACATTAGGTTTTTCGGTCTGTCTTGACTGTTTGTGAAACCTAGGGTTTATACAATTGGGGGTTTCTTGATAATCGGTCAAATTAGTATCCCAAGGCTTGAGAAACCCTAGATGATCCAGTCAATTTCTTTGAATTGGTTCGAATTCAATCCTAAATTTTTTTAGGATTTCCTGTGTCAACCTTGAATCCAAACATTAACCCTTCACTATGACTGAAATCACCAAATTCAATGGGAAAATTGATTTCAACAGTTTAAAGAAAAAGATGAAGGATTTATGATCACATAATAAGGTAGCCTTGGCTCTAGAGAATGATATAACCAAATAGTTAGAGGAGAAACTGAAAAAGAAAGCAGAGTTGGATGAGGAGGTGTACAACATGATCATTATAAACCTCTCCGGCAACATCCTGAGAAAGGTAGACGGTTATGAAATTCCAACTGCTGTATAGGGTAAACTCGAATCCCTTTATGCTTTATAGTGTGCTCCTAACTTAGCTTACTTAAAAGGTGTTCTGTTTGCATATACAATGGATATCTCTAGGACCGTTGATGAAAATCTTGACGAGTTCTTGAAAATGACCAAAGTGTTAAAGGGTACATATCAAGAACTCTGGGACTCTAGCCTAGTTCTGATCTTGCTAAATTCCTTAACCGAAGAGTACTAGTTTGTAGACAATGCCCTTCAATACACTGGTACTATCCCAAGCGTGGACTTAATAGTCTTAGGACTAAAAGCTAGAGAATTAGAGCTTAAGGTACAAAGAAGAACCGATAATAATCTGTTTATTAAGGGAAAAGGTGAATTAAGCAAATTAGGCAATGTTGTCCTATCTGATAATGGCCCTAGGAATAAGAAAAGTGGAAAGATGAACCGTAAAACCAAAGGAGAAACCAGGAAGTGTTTTTTTTGTAATAAAACTGGTCATTTAAAAAAGAATTGTTATGCCCGGCTTAAGAAACAGAAACAAGGGAACACTGAAAACAACCTAGCAACCTCTAAGTCTAATATTGAAGAATCTGAAGTCTTAACTGTGTCCAAAACTGATAGTATAAATAACTGGGTAATGGATTTTGGGTGCTTATTTCATATGAGCCCCAATAAAGAATGGTTTTAGGACTTAGAGGAGAATAGGTTAGAAACAGTGTATATGGGTAACAACAATGCTTGTAAAGTCCAGGGAATAGGTAATATAACCCTAAGACTAGACATTGGTAAAATTGTCAAGCTGACTAAAGTAAGGTACATTCCAGAATTAAAAAGAAACTTAATTTCATTAGGTTCTTTAGATGAATCTAGATGCTGTTACAAAGCTGTAAATGGGTGCCTTATTGTTTATAAGAATAACAGTGTATTGCTTAAGGGGGTAAAAAGGAATGGACTTTATATCCTGTATGGAAATTACTACTCTAGTTGTTTAAACTCTGTATTGTTTTCTACTAACCTGAATGCTACAGAGAAATGGCACCTAAGGCTGGGCCACATGAGCCAAAAGGGCCTTGACATCCTGCACAAGCAGGGCCTATTTGGTAGGGATCCCATTGAATTCCTTGAGTTTTGTGAGACATGTATCATGGGCAAGCAACACATGCTGAGTTTCCAAAGGAGAACTCACCTGGCTGCCAATTGTTTAGAGTATTTGCATGTTGACTTGTGGGGACTTGGGAGGGTAAAATCACATGGGGGCAGTAGCTATTTTCTATCCATAGTAGATGACTACGATACGAAAGTGCGAGTTTTCCTACTTAGGACTAAGGATGAAGGCTTAAGTAAGTTTAAGAGTTGGAAGGTTCTTGTAGAGAACCAAACTGACAAAAAGGTTAAAACTCTTAGGACTGACAATGGTTTAGAGTTCTGTAACCTGGAATTTGACTCCTATTGCACTGAACAAGGTATCTTAAGACATATAACAGTTAGGAAAACCCTTCAGCAGAATGGGGTTGCTAAAAGAATGAATATAACTCTCTTAGAGAAGGTTAGATGCCTTCTCTTTACATCCTACCTACCAAAGTCTTTTTGGGGAAAAGCTCTTAACACTGTTGCCTACCTTATTAACAGAAGCCCCTCAAGTGCTATCAGTTTCATGTGCCCTGAGGAAAAATGGTGTAATAGAAAACCTAGCCTAGGACGTTTGAGGACCTTTGAATGTGCTGCTTATGTTTACATCAGTGAAAGGAAGTTAGAGTCTAAGTCCCTTAGGTGTGTTTCCTTAGGTTATCAAAAGGGAACCAAAGGGTATAGGCTTTAGGAAAGGAGTGCTCCTATGGTTAGGATAATAATCAGTAGGGATGTAATTTTTAATGAGAATGTATTTCCTTTCAAAACTATTAACTCTTATGCAAGTTCAACTAGCAGTCACCCTATGAATCAGGATCAACTTGAGATAGTCCAAATTGAGGTGAAGCCTGCTGTACCTCAACTTGACTTGGAGCAACTGGAAGCTAGAACCAATGGATCAGACTTGGACCATGAGTTAGAAGAGGAACATACTGTAGAAACTGATGAACCCCATCCTAACCCTTTAGCATAATACCAACTGGCCAGGGATAGAAGCAGAAGAGAAATCAGGCCACCAATAAGATACTCCTATGCTGATCTCATCTACATAGTCCTAGTGGCTGGGGCACAAGTGTAAAGGACAGTACCAGACTACTATGATAAAGCAGTCAGATCCAAAGACAGAGAAAAATGGCAAGTTGCAATGAAGAGATGTTGTCCCTAAAGATAAATGGAACCTGGTCTTTGGTTCCTAATCCCAAAGACTAGAAATTGATTGAATGCAAGTGGTTATTTAAGCTTAAAGAAGCTATAAACTCTTCTGACCCTCTTGGGTATAAGGTTAGGTTGATAGCCAAAGGCTACACACAATGAGAGGGAATAGATTTCAATGAAATTTTCTCCCCTGTTGTGAAATACAAGACCGTTAGGATCATGTTAGCCATAGTTGCCCATAAGGATTTAGAATTAGAACAACTTGATGTTAAGACTACATTCTTGCATTGGAACTTAGAAGAAAGGATTTACATGAGACAACACATTGGTTTTGTAGATTTGTAGATAGGAACCTACCCAATCATATATGCCTTCTTCATAAATCATTATATGGACTGAAATAGTCCCCTAGGCAGTGGTATAAGCATTTTGATGCATTCATTCTTAGCATTGGCTTCAATAAAAGTAAATATGATAGTTGTTTTTACTATGCTCTCTCTAATGACATGCCTTTACTTTTGCTACTATATGTCAATGACATGTTTTCAATTTGCAACTCTAAGCTTAGGATAGAAGAGCTAAAGAAAAGATTAAACTTTGAATTTGATATGAAGGATTTAGGATGAGCAAAACGGATTTTAGGCATCGTCATAGATAGAAATAGAAATAACCATAAGCTAAAAGTCCATCAGAAGTCTTACTTGTAAAAGTTATTGTCTAAATTTGGCATGGCAGGATCCAAAATAGTGATTGTACCCTTGGCTGGACATTTGATGTTAAGTAAATCACAATGCCCCAAAACTGATGCTGATTTAATTAAAATGGAAAACATCCCTTATGCAAATGTAATTGGGTCAGTCATGTATGTCATGATAAGCACCAGACCAGACATTTCCTTTGCAATTTCCCTAAGTAGATTCATGTCAAACCCTGGCTTTGAACATTGGCTTGCTCTTAAATGGCTGCTTAGATACATTAATAGTTCTTTGCATGTTGGCTTGGAATATGGAAAAAGATATGACTCACTTGATCTTGTAGGTTTTGTAGATTTTGATTTTGCAAGTGACAAAGATTCAAGAAAATATACCACTACATACTTGTTCACCTTGGAAGGAAACTATGTAAGCTGGAAGTCCCAACTTCAGCCAATCGTTGCTCTGTCCACAACTGAGGCAGAGTATGTGGCTGTGACAGATGTTTTCAAAGAAGCTCTCTGGCTTCAAGGGCTATTGTCAGAAGTTAAGCTACTTGAGGGTGCAGTCACTGTCTATTTAGACAGCCAAAGTGCCATACATTTGAGCAAGAATCCTATCTACTATGAAAGGACCAAACATGTTGATGTCAAATACCATTTTGTGAGGGAGCTGGTGGATAAAGGGGTGATCAATCTGAAAAAGGTGTCAATAGAGGACAACCCTCCAGATATAGGAACAAAGGTGGGCTCTCCAGCCAAGTTCAAGCACTGCTTGAACCTGCAGCATATTAAGTGAGCTGCAGCAATCGAGCTATGATGGGTGATTTGTGGGTGAACTGCACTGGTAAGGTTCTTGATCAAGTGATGTGTCAAAGCTTGAAGGTGGAGATTGTTGACTGAAGCTTTAAACGGTGTCACATTGTAGTGGCTTATACGCTGCCATTTTGGGGTTATTTTAAATGACAAATCTCAGCCATTGAATCCAACTTAATCTAACGGTGAAAAGCAGTCCAAGGAGTCAACCTATATAAAGTTGAGTTTCAAGGAAAGTAAACAGCAAATAAATTCACTCTCTCTCGTGTTCTTCGACTGTGCTAGGGTTCTTAGTTTAGTTTTTCTTCAAATTGTGTAATCGGGTCACAATTGGTGGTAACTGTAGGTAGAAGAAATAGGTTGTTCTTTTGGTAGAGGCACTTTGTATAGGTTGTGTTGTTATTGCGATTATGGGTTGTTTTGAAGGTTTTTGTGCGAGTGAGAGATTTGGGTTATTGGTGTTGCTTGGTTTGTAATTTGTAAAGAACTTGATCCTTATAGTGCAGAGAGCCCTAAATTACTTGGAGCTCAACATGAACGTAGTTTATTCCATTGGGATAAACGAACCACGGTAAAATCTTATGTGTTCTTGATTTTCTTTCTTGGTTGATTCATGTTTTGTGTGTGTTAGGTGTGTTTGATAGTGAAATCGATTAGGTTTGAGTTTGATTGAAACCCAACAGTTACCAAGGACACTGATCTAAAAGAAGAAGATCGAATCGAACTTCTTCTAGTTGTCATCAACACTGGCCTTTATCGTAACTTACCCTTTTCCTTCTCGATATCTTTCTCTAGTTTTGTAAAATCTGAATCACTGTTTGGTTTAAAGATAATGTCGCAACACTTTATCTCTTTGAAGAACAAACTTTAATGAGAATCTCATGTTAATTTGTTAGATGTGGCGTTTAACTTAATTCAGCATCATCCTGAATTAACTATAGCTAGGGATGAAAATGGAGAGACAATTCTTCAAAAACCTTTGGCATTTGTAAGTGGGAGCCGGCTTGGAATTTGGCAGAGGTGCATTTACTCATGTTAGTAACTCCATTACTGGCCGTTCTTATGGTTTTAACATTCTTCTTATAGTAGCAGATTGTTCTTTACATGATTATTATACACTAGATTATATGAATTTTGAGAAAAACACCTCCAAGTGATGGTTCTTTGTCACGTCAGTGCCATGTATAAGAGCAGTCCTTAAAAGAAAGCTAACACATCTCCAAGCCTATGAATTGGTGAAACGACTTTGGAAACTAGTGTTGTTTCTAGATAACTCAAAAATTGGAGAACTAATTAGGAAACCTTCTCATTTGTTGTTTACTGCTGTGGAAAAAGGGAATGTTGAGTTCATAACTGTGCTGATTAGAATGTGTCCTGAACTTATTTGGAAGGTTGATGATCCCAGTCAAAGCATATTTCATATTGCGATGGTTCATCGACAAGAAAGTACTTTTACTCTCATACATGCCATCGGTGCTCATAAAGATCTGATAGTAGCTTATAAAGATAACAAGAATAACATGTTGCATCTGGCTGGAAAGCTAGCGCCTCCTGATCGACTCAAAATAGATTCCGGTGCAGTTTTGCAACTTCGACGAGAGTTGCATTGGTTCAAGGTTAATAAATGCTTAGTTACTAACCTTGCACTTTGTTGATTTTGATTCTACTCCATTGAGTTTATTACTGTTATTACCATTAGTTTCTAGGTTTGAATCTTGGTATAATTTACTTTGAATTACAAGAAGTTGAAAAGGTTGTCCAACCATCTTATATAGAGTCCAAAAATTCAGCCAGGAAAACACCTCATATCTTGTTTTCGGAGAAGCATGAGAAACTTCTGCGAGAGGGAGAAAAGTGGATGAAAGACACTGCATCTTCATGTATGCTTGTTGCGATGCTTATTGCCACTGTGATGTTTGCTGCGGCCTTCACTGTGTCTAGTGACAATAACAATCCTACAGGCAAGCCTATTTTTCTACATCAAGTATCATTTCTTATTTTTGCAGTATCAGAGACATTGGCGCTATTCTGCTCTGCCACTGCAATATTAATGTTCTTGTCCGTTCTCACTTCACGCTACGCAGAAGAAGGTTTCATGCACTCATTACCAAACAGATTGATAATAGGGCTCACAACCCTCTTTATCTCTATTGCCACCATGATGGCAGCATTTGGAGCCACTCTTTTCATTGTTCTTGCTGATGACTTTTCTTTTCATCAATAGCTATTCCATTTGCTTCAGTAGCTTGTGCTACTACCACCCTACCTGCCCTGCTTCAGTTCCTTCTTTTTTCTGATACAATCAGTCATTTATTTTATAATGACGGTATAAAATAAGATTATCCAGCATTTTCTCTCGTCCTAGCCATCTCTTCTTTTACTAGCTTAATCCAAATAATCTTTGTGAAGTTAACAGTACAGTGGATTCCATATTATAACTAGTTCTAACAGAGTATATAATATAAGTTTGCATTTTCTGCATTTTGCTATTGGATTACCTTTCTATATATGCTGTCAAAATTATGAAGTAATCTAATTAAACTTTCTTTCCAGACTCAAAGGATTTATTCAGTTGGAAGTCACACGTCAGTACCATTTCCTTTAGCTTTTTGGATCCAGATTAAGCCCATATAACATAGCATAATTGGGCTGAAAATTTCTGGGTCATAAAACTAACTCCACATCTTGCACGGCCCGATTTAAATTACTACTTTCCAGTTGTAAACAAACTAAAAAACAAGAAGAAAAAGTCATATTCTAAGGCATATTCTAAAATTTTGGTCCTAGTAATGTGACCTTTTATATGGCGTTTATAATTGAAATAATGATTCAGAGAACGATGTAATAATTCCATATAGAATGTAATATTACTTTAAAAAATCTTTTGTAAAAATAGTTAATTTTAGTAAATAATATACTATTTTTGCTTTCTAACTTTCTGATTTAATACATTACAATCATAAAATTAACATCCTAAAAAATATAATAATAATAAAAATAATATCATCATTGAAACTTTGTATATATCATCTTGAATATAAATGTTTTATTAAGTCTAAAATAGTTATAGTATTATGAGTGCCGTTACTTCATTATATGTAAGATTAAATCAATAATTTAGAACAACCTAATGATTAATTCAATTTTACATATTAAGAAATAACATTATTTTATGTTTCAACATCCTATTAATCATATAATAAAAAAGATTAATATTTTTTTATAGTTTATGTAAATGCTGATGTATAAATAATTGATATAATTAAGTGTTAAATTCCAAGGATAAAGATAAGATAAAATTACGTGGTTAAAAAATATGGATAAATAAATTAAAATCCTCCTAATAAAATCCTAACTTATGATTAGTGCAACCATCTATAGCAATCTAATAAAGGTTTTGAAAAGTCAAAGTTCAGACAAGAGTGGTAAAATAGTCAACGTTTGGGTGAACACAAATAGTCTTAATGGCGAATTTTGATTTGATAAAAAGAATATGCGCACAGTGAATGGAGAAGATTCGTGACACATGCGCATCTTTGTTTCTTATTCTCTCTCTATTTTATTGTCTTATAACCGAAACTCAACTACCTTCTTCCTTGTAATTTCTTCTCCTATTATTTTATGATTTATCAACTTCAAGTTCAGCTCATTCAGGTACTTTCCCTCTCTTTCTTTCGTTCTTCAGTGGCATGCATGTGTTAATTTCTTATTTGTTTTTTTGCCTTTTTGGTTTGTTTCTAAAGAGCCCAGTTGAGATTTAATGTTGTTCTGGTGAATTTCACTTGAATATTTGGGGGAGAAATCTGAAATTTCTGCTTTATAATCTGAACCAGTTCTTGTTTTTGTGAATGTTTCTGAGAAGCTGACCAAAGAAATGAAATGGGTTTGCTTGAAGCGTCTTGAAATTTTTCTGGTCTGTTAAGTAATTAATCAAAGACATTTGTTTTTGGGTTGAAGTCTCTTTGAGGCTCTGCTGCTCTTTTGTCCAAAGTGCTTATCCAAAACCAATGTTTAATCAGACACTTGGATTATCTAAATTCTTTGATGCACCTAGCTATTATCTCGTCGTTGATTCACTTTTGTTTTATTTGTTAAAGTAAACCTAAGAGCAAGACAGAATAAGGCCATTTTGTTTCTTAAGCTCTAATTTTTCTGCCAAGGTTTGAGAAAAAGATAGATTATTTTCCTCTGTAACATAATCTCGTATCTTTAGTGCAAATCCTAGAAGGCTTTAGCTGCAAAATAACTGACATTTTTTTCGGGNGTTGCTTAGAGATTACAGGTTATGAGTTACATTGGACACAAATGAATGAATAACGAAAATTTGTTAGGGGTGTATTTATAAACTTATAAGGTGTTTTTGTTATTTTTTAAACTAATAGGGGGGTAATTGATTTTTTACAGGGTACCCTGGAAAGGAACCGGAACCTGCATTTTAGGTTCCGGTTCCTTGAATTGAAGAACCTGTACTGTGCGGTTCCGGTTCCCCGAAAAAGTGCAGGGTACCCGGAACCGCTCACCCCTAATCTCATATTTGTAATTTCTATTCCAATTCTCTCAGTAGCTGTACATGACTTCCTAATATGGCTGATTTAACTCTCCAAACAACAAATTTTCACCCTTTGCACCAGAGGTTAGTCTCTTTTAATGAATTCTTCTGATTTTTTTTAACTCAACAACAATTTTTATCTTAATAAATTTTCAGTTTTGGGTCAATTTAGGTGGGACACAAGACTTAGGGTTGGGAATTTGTATGAAGAATCGTATTACAAGAAAACAGCTAAACAAAACGAGCCAAAAATATCCCAAACACCCAATTCCAGAAGAGACAACCTAAAACTTTAACATCTTGCACATCTCAATTGGTGGTGTTAATGTTTACACATTAGTCAATCTATTAGGTAATTGATATGAGATCTAATCAGTTGATGAGAATACTTTCTTTTCGACTTTTAGACACATGTTTCAAATTTTTTAATGTAAATAGTTTTATAAGTTGACAATAATATCATACAACCAAAAACAAATTAATGGATGCAAAATATACATAATTGAATAAAAAAAAAAAAAATTACCGATGTTAAGATTATACATGAAGGAATAAAAAATTACAATTACAATGAGATTGTTATAAGGTGATTATGAACAATTCTACATCAATAAGAGAAGTTGAAAGACTATAAATCAAAGACTTAGTATGTGGCGGCTCCTTGTGAAGGATGAGGATGTCTTGTTGTAGATAATAAGAAGCTCTTGGTCATACTTGTTTCTTTTGATAGTATCAGAAAAGGATCCCTCAGCCGCAATAGAAGAACATTTATCCGGGTCTACTTCTTTGATTTAATCTTTATTAACACCCAATATTACATAAAACTTATTATTAGACAATGCCAGCTTGTGCGTATAGTACGCCAAAGCATAGTTGCAGCTTGATGGCAACACTAAAATGTCTAGCTTTAAAATGACTGATTGCTGCAGCAAAGTCCTTGTGTTGAAAGTAATCCTCTGCTGTAGCTTTGCATTCTTCAACATCTTTGTGAAATACACTCCGCAAGGTAAGAATTGTGCTAAACCAATTTAAAATACACAAGTGATACTTTTCTCATGAGAATCACTTGTGTATTTTAAAGTGGTTTAGCACAATTGAAAGCACCTGATACTAACTGTTACCAGATTTTAAAAAGGAAAATTTTCAATTATAATTTATCAGAAAAAAGAAGTTGGACTTTTCGGTTTAAGAAAGTGTTTTCTTTTGCCCACATTAGAGCTTATCTAATCGGACTATGGAACACTTTACAAGTCTAATAAATCAAGATAATTACACAAATGTGATAAATACCTCTCTTGTGACTCGAACATATCCCCTGACTTCTGGGTATAACTAACCCTCATTTCTAAAAAGTTTGCCATCCGACCACAAGAAGAGAGGTAACTTTTCATATATCAAGCAAACAATTTAACTTAAACAAGATTCTTAGAGGAACAAATGCAATCTTAATGGAGCTGAAGGAAATAGGGAAAGAGTTTGACTTGAATGAATTTCTTGGCTCTCATTTCCTTTTCTTTGATTTTAATTGTTGTCTACTTTTTGTTTTTAATACAAGCACCAACAAAATCTATTGGGATTCCCTGTTAAGTACAAGTGCATTGAAGTGCTCATTAAGCTGATATTCAAAGGTATACACCAAAGACCTGAACAAAACTTCAACTCATTTCATCAACTTTGTACAATTGAGAAAGAGCAGACAATCTAGCTGCTATTTCTTCATGATCATCATCCATTAGCCGAGTTGCTGCCTGAGTTTACAGAATGAACAACTTGATATGATATATGAAAACCTTGAGCTTCAGCCTCAAAACTCTGAAGTTATGATATGAACCGCGGCAAAAACAAAAATACTCCTCTTCATTGGAGTCTAATCGCCTTTTTTCAAGACCACGAAACTTTTGGCATACAGGTCACTGTGAGGCTGTGAGCTGTGGCTTAAACAAGATTATCTTGAACTTGTGACCAGAACTGTGACCTCAGAGCTACTACAGATGATCAATTCAAGATAGATGACCAGAAACGAGGATCAGAAGACCCATAAGATTCTTCTGTTCTGGTCTTTGTTCTCAAAACTTGATGCAGAACCATAAGTAATTGTTCATTTCTGTGCCCCAGATTCTCTTTCACGGCGGTAAACATATACTGAATCCAGCACAACTTTTCCAACTCTTCTATTTTTTCGAGTTCGTTTACTCATACCTTTCTTTCCTACCTTCTCAACAAGAGGTTGGGACATGGGAACATGATGAATCCATAGTAATGGAACCAGGGCCGCAAGAAACTGTATTAAGATACCCACAGGCAAACTTGAGTAATCTTGAGATGTTATTCCAATCAGAGAAGCCAATCCAATACCCAAAAACCCACTGGCAATTGATGATAGACACAATGTTGAAGCTGAAAAAGAAGTGAGTGAGCCTTCACAACCCTGTGGGCATAAACTTGCCAATAGCATTGAAAAGGGGAGGAGCTTAAACTGTGCAAGAGTTTCTGCTAAACCAGAGAAACAAAGGGCAAACACCTCATTTGGAATTCCTAATTGAAGATTGATCTGTCTCACTAAAATGAAGTCAAGAAGGAGGGAAAAAGCATACGAAATCTGCACTATCCCAATCAATTTTCTCAGGGAAACCTTCTTCCAGTACCGGTCATATAGTACAGTCAATGTCAGAAGT